GTGTGTGTGTGTGTAGCTGGCCCCTCGTATTCGCGGATACCGATCTACTAGGGCGGCTAGCCAACCCCTATTGCAGACGCAGGCTTAGGCACATCTGCGTTTGTTCAATATCTACAGAGCCAACCTGTGGTTTATACTGCAACTATGCTGAGCAGACCTTAGTTACAGTTTCTGGGAAAGAGCGTGTTACCTAGCGTGATCAACCCTCGGCCATGATGAAGAATCACTTCGTGCTAGCACAACTATCGATGGCCGCTTCCGTCTACACAATTTCAGGCTCTTTTACTAATGGCGCCGCTCGCTGGGATCGACCCATCCAGTCCGATAACATCAAGAAGTCTCCTTCCTGACAAATCAGCCACAGTGAGATTCGAACCCGGATCTCATGAATGCGAGCGTTCTAACCAATCGTGCCCCCCATATATATATATATATATATATATATATATATATATATATGTGTGTGTGTGTGTGTGTGTGTGTGTGTGTGTGTGTGTGTGTGTGTGTGCGTTTATCACTTTAAACGGTATTTTTAGTGGATACTCATATTTGGGTAGACGTATTTATTTATTAAACAGCATATCAGTCTATAATTCTGTGATGAGGTATTTTAACTATTTAATCTATTTACATTGTTTGAAATGTTGTCCTTATCTTTATCGTCATATTCATGACGTTTCGGTCGTTCTACGCCCCGAAATTCATCAGGAGATATACGCTTATGGTCCAGTGGATAAAAGCGTTCGTTGAAGTAATCAAAAAGTTACTTGAGTCAAAGAGTCGTGAGTTCAATACCTGGCCACTGCAGAGGTGAACAATAACTTGGAGAGTTGTGTTACTAAAATGAATTAACTGAAAACCGAGATATCCAGAAAAAAAGGTATGACACGTGGAACTAGAGCAATCTACCCCTATCGACTAAATATAGGGTTCGGTTCGAAATTCCAATGTATATCACTTGTGGGGTGTGGAAGAATTAGGAACAGAACCGTTAATAATGAACGGGAAGAGGAAAGAGTAATCAGCATACAATTTATGGTTACGCCTAGCCAGCGCAACCGTCAATTGATGAGAAAATATTTTTTACTATAAACAAATGAGATATTATGATGATGTGAATCTTTCAAAAAAATACTAAGGCCTAAATGCAATTACAAGAGGATTTGCTATTCGGATCACTTCATCTACTCGGATGGCGAATACATTTTCACTTCAATGGCTACAGTTTCATGGATACGCACATCTGGAAGACATTATTGTTAAACTTTCAATGAAGGCATCAAAACGAACAATTTGTTTTTAATAAGGCGTATAACGTAATAGTTTTTGCAGTTTGTTACGATGGAGAAACATTGCCGTCACCGCCATTTCTTTGTACTAGAAGCTGAAAGCCAGACCACATTTATTTAAGATAATGAATCTGCTAATAATCCATATATTTTTATCTTTATTATATTAACAACTGAGTGGCAGTCTTGAAAAATTATGTCTGATATGAAAACTTACGAAACATTGATACTTCAGCGAATAGCATCCATTGTGATTTATTGAAGTTTGCTGAACATTTATGGTGACCGAATAGAAGATATGAACACAGTTGGTAGGTAATGCATTTCAACATTGATAAAAGCGATTATATGTAAGAATCTATGTTCCGAGTGGTCCTGTACAGTTGTCAACCTACGAAAAGAAACGTGTAACAATTGCGTGAGGCAACAGATTTTACATGGAAACAATATATAGGGCTGAATTTTGATTTCAGTTAAATAGAAACGATATTGTCGGCGCAGGATTAGCACAAAGTTAGGTGGGCCCCATGGTTTGCTAAGAACATAAAAACCGCCAATGTCTTTCAGGAAAGGCTGAACCGACATGAAGTCGATGGTGACAGTTATTTGGACCAGAGTGTCATGGGTGGTGTGATGTAATGTCACTCTACAACCCGGAAACAAAACCTCAATCCACAGAGTGGCGATGAGCGACTTATTCATCAAAGAATCTGTTCAAGAAGCAGGTATCAGAGGGCAAAGTAATGTCATGTCTTTGGGATTGGAAAGGGGGGTGGTCCACATGTATTTCCTAGAATCAAGTTAATCTATTAACTCTGACCTTAATATTCAGATACAAAACAGAGAAAAAAAAACTCGAATCTTACAGCAGTTTGAAGGCCATGCATCACGTAGAAAATTTTGACTCTAATTTTGAAAAAAAAAACTTACCGTTTGCCCAAAATTGGCACCATCCAACTTTCATCTGTTCGAACCGATAAAATATGAACTACACCGACAACGTTTTCTTGACAATGACGCCATCATCGCTACATTGAAAAAGAGTTTCGCCTCTGTTGTTGCAGATTTTTATGAGCGTTGCATGCAAGCACTTGATTATGGCAGGCGACATTGCATAACTTATGGTAGTGACTGTGCTGGAAAAATATGTTACTGTGTTCTCAGTATTTATTGTAGTTTCTCTAGAAAATCAATAATTGTCATTACTTTCGGAGCATCATCGACTCGATGCAAAATTCAGTTATCATTACCAATCGATGATTAAAGCTTTGTGTCGGAATTACTAGCGTAAATTGAACATAGAACCGTCGAAGTAATTATCATCGGTGAAATTAAGACCAAATTTAACATTCTATATCCGAACACCTCTCTCTTTCTCTCTCTCTTTCTCTTTCTCTCTCTCTCTCTTACTCTCTGTTGATCCCCCTCGACCAATCTCCTTTCTCTTTCTCTCTCATTCTCTCGCTATCTTTTTTTCTCTATCACCCTCTATCTATCAACTACTCTCTCTTTTTCACTCTATTTCGACCTCTGTATCTTTCTTTCCCTCTCCCACTCTGTCAAACTCTCTATCCACCCCTCTCTCTCTCTCTCTCTCCCTGACAAAATGTTTCTATTTCTCTCTATCATTTTCTAAACCTCTGTTTCTCTCTCTCTCTCTCTCTCTCTCTCTCTCTCTCGCGCGCGCGCGCTGTTTATCTATCTCAACCAATCTGTTTTCTCTCTATCTTTATTTCTCTCTATGACACTCTCTTTCTTTCTCTCTCTCTCTCGTTCAATTTCTCTCTACTTATCCCTCTTAATCTCTCTTTTTCTCATATCTCTCTTTCCATATTCATCGTTTTTTTTCATCTGATTTTGATAATGACCAATATTAATAGCGAGAAAGAACCAAATACGCAATTATTCATATTCTGTGAAACCCGAAATTCTTTCTATTTCAGATTATAAAGAAGATTTAATGAAAATATTTCTTGCATGAGCATTTCAATTCAATCTAAAGTAAGACTCTTACTTAAATACACATAATAGATTGATTAAAACAGCGGAAAGCGAATCCGTGGATAAAATACAATAAAGTTTAAAGTAAAGCGATTCAAGTTGATAGACATTCTCTAAAAACTGAAAAATTAGAGAAATAAACTAAAATGGAAGAATAAAAACAAAAACTAGACCCTCCTCTACTTGGAAAGACTGACGTAACACAATCTTCCTTCTCCATTATTCCGTAATATTTTGGCCTTTTATTCTTCTCAATTCATTCTATTTTCTTCTTCCTTTCTTTCTTCTGAATGTGTACACTTTCTCTTCTCTCTCTCTCTCTCTTCTTCCTTCTTCTCAATTCCTTTGTTTCTCTGTCTTTCTTTCATTTATATTTGCATTTCTTTTTGCTTCCATTTTATTTATTTCTTCCTAATCACACTTTACAATCCTATCACAATCATCTGTCTGTTGTATGTGTTTTACGATTGTCTTGTCATTGGACTAGACAATAAACCTCCTTGTAACTCCATCAAGAAAGCATCTAACCTTACATATCATCTCTCCAGGCTTCGGCCTAATGCATCTGTGTTGTTTTATGCCTTCTTTCAATTTCAATGCGAACCGTTCTCAGGTCTGTGATCAAATTTACTTTTCACATTCATGGTAACCCATTAATACTTGATGACTAGACTTTTATACAGAGATTCGAACAAATAATGCGGGAAATTTAAGAAGCGTAACAAAATAGAATTCAGATACAATTCATTTAAAATAGAAATCAGTTAATACTTTCCAATAGTTTATTTTTAACATTTAAAGTACTCTTTAATTTCTATTTCATTGCAACTACATAATCTTCCCAAAAGACATCAAATCTCTATAGTTTAGTAGCAGTTACTAAAGTACATCAATTCATAAGTCATCTGATATATAAATTAAAAGCATACTGCAATAGTCAAATACCCATTACATAATCATAAGTATAATTTGTCCTAATACCAATATTTTAAGTTAATAATCAGTTTCATTTGAGGTTATGATAAGGATATATATCAAGTCCCTACAGCCTTCCCTTTATAAGCAAAAAGTGGCTCTTGAACAGCGATTGCGTTTACACACACACACACACACACACACACACATATATATATATATATATATATATATATATAAACACACACACACATATATATATATATATATATATATATATATATATATATATATATATATATATATATGCTTCAGACGACTGTATGTATCATGTAAGTTTTTGGAAAGACGTAGAATTACTGTTGAGGTACGGCGATGAAAAGTTAAGTAAAAATCTAGATTCTATTAACCTACTTTTGTCGCCCTCTGAAGAAATAGCTTCTGATCATGTCATGTGGAGATGTGTATATGAAAGGCATTAAAAGCTTTAAGAGATTTCGAATTGAACATCTTCCTATTAAAAGGCAGAACACTGACCTAACAATACTGCAGCTTTCACAAAGGGTGCAGTTGCTTGTCCTTTATGCGGAATAATGTGTAAGTGTCAAGCTGACCTTTAAAAGACATCGAAGGTACAAACACTAGTAGACCATCAAGGGCTGAACATGATACTGAAAATTCGTACGTCGAAAATGAATGGAGAGTCACTATATATATATATATATATATATATATATATATATATATATATATATATATATATATATATAATTATTTTTATAAAAAAATTATAACATAAGTATCATATATTATATATATATATATATATATATTAATGTATATTTTGACAGAAGCATTTTCTTTTAAACATCTTTAGTTATATATGACAAACAAGGAAAATGTAATTAAATTTTATTTAGTTTTCCTTCCTCTTCGCCTAATTTTTATGATTTCAATATCACAATTTTATTGCAATAAAGATACACAGATATATATATTTATATATATATATATATATATATATATATATATATATATATATATATATATATATTTAAATAAATTGTTGGAGGTACAAAACCGTAGTATTGCAAGGAATAGATACAAATTATTTCCTAAAAGGCATTATGAAAATAAAAAATAAGAGATGATAACACTTACAGAACAGACCAACCGGTTTCGTTCCCAAGCTCATCAGGGTCGACTGGGAACAATTTAATAATTATTGCAATATATATTAATTCACACAAACACCCTACATACAATTAAAACATTAAAAAATGAAATGATTAAAGGTATGAGGGAAAAAATATATATATATATATTTCAAACCGTGCCAAAAATGCACAGCACAAAGGGAAAAAAAAATTATAACGTGGAATGTGAGGGGAATGTATGATAGACACTAGAGTGTAATAACGTGAAGCCCAAGGAGACAGTCTTTTTGCTTGCAAAGGGACGGCTCCCTGGACCGAATATACAGAGTGCCCTCAAGTGCCCTCAAATGAAATGGAGAGTGCGAACTGGACAGTACAGTAAACCAATTTGGACTGAAGTTCTTCGCACAATCCCTGCAATTTATTAAATGTTTAGTGATCGCTGACCCGGAAGTATTAACCAACTGGCTCTTACGAGCTTCCGGATTAAGAACTCTCAATGGGACATGCTGCCTGATCCTACAATCTAAACGTTGGGAAGTCCTTCCTATGTAGTTGCTACCGCAACCACAATTAAAAGAATATATCACGGAAAGGAGAGGATCAATCGGTTAAGGCACGTCAGGCTATATGACGGTTCCGTATAGGATACAGGTTCGATTCCTGTCGGAGGACGAATATTTTCTATGACAATTTCTCGAACATTCAGGCCGGTAAAAGTTATTAATACTGTTTATTATAAAAAGACCATTTACTTAAATATTTGTATCTATAAAAAGAATGTATAAAAATAAAAATGTCTTAATATATATATATATATATATATATATATATATATATATATATATATATATATATATATATGTAATGTATCCATATTCCTAATTTACGTGATCCTTATCACTGATTCGCATTGTGTGCAAATACTGTTAAATATATATGTATAATTTTTCCTCTGATTGAATAAAAATATATCCAACACATAAAAGTTCAAAGTGTAAAAGTGAAGACACCTCACTAAAGGAGCTAGCATCTTCCATTTGTGTAATGGAGTGTGTTTCATTGGAAAACACAAGAATGCCATTTTGAGAATCTCATAAATTTCTTTTTATTTTCTGAAATCTTCAGCAAATGTCCGGCACAGATTTTCACTATTTCAGGACAGCCTACATTCGTACTCTGTTCATCGCATACATCGACCGGTTGCCTAACACAAATTTTTGGTTTGTTCATTACTAGAAACGGAAGTCAGTCCATTTGGTTAGTAAATTGGAACCGGACAATCAAGCGGATTTTCCCTACCACGCGATGGTATGGTGGCTGACAGAGCTGAGCAATAAGATTGGCTGGAATCTCAAGCATACATCGTGTGTTGGACACAATAATGGAGAGGAGATGATTTCGTCAAGTGGAGAGAATCGTTTAGCTGCAGAAGAAAAAGACATTCTTGTCTAAAGAGGTTAGGCTTCCGTTCTGATGCTGCAGGATCCGGATATAGGAATGTTCTCAGCAATCAGAAGATAAATCGATATAACTGTGTGATTGATTCGCTATATCATTAAAATCAAGCAGAAGAATGTCAAGGATACTTTAGCTATTCAACATAACTAAATGCAAGATAACAAGAAAGAGGTATGAATAGATAGATAGATAGATAGATAGATAGATAGATAGATAGATAGATAGATAGATAGATAGATATGAACAGACTGAGATAGATAGATAGATAGATAGATAGATAGATATAAAAGAATACAGTAGATATAAAAGAATGAGATAGATAGATAGATAGATAGATAGATAGATAGATATGAACAGATAGATATAAAAGAATACAGTAGATATAAAAGAATGAGATAGATAGATAGATAGATAGATAGATAGATAGATATGAACAGATAGATATAAAAGAATACAGTAGAGATAGATAGATAGATAGATAGATAGATAGATACATACATACATACATACATACATACATACATACTTGTATGTAGGTGGGCGCTTGTGTAAGATGCTTCGTGATACATGCAACAACCCCTGAGAAGTCAAGTGTAATACAATAGCGATGATGCTGGCTGTTAATTGGGAAAATAAATTATTTTTCAGGATATTTTTTCTTATGGAAATCTCTCTCTCTCTCTCTCTCTCTCTCTCTCTCTCTCTCTCTTGTGTGTGTATGTGTGTGCATGTGTGTATCTATATATCTCTTTCATGTCCTTCAGATTTCTTGAAATGCTTCAGGTAAAAACACAGTTTCATAAAGGTGTACCCAGAGTTATAAGGTTAATCCGGTTGCTGTCCATTTTCAATCCGTTCTTTAATGGAAGGACTTCCGTTTCCGCTATTGAACAAGCAAAAGATGATATTAAGTCTTTTGTGATGGGCATTTTCTCTTTAAGAGAAAATGATGTCGAAAAATGTCGCTGTTCTTATTTTGATGGACTTATGTCGCCTTCAAGACATTTTCAGTATCAAGAATGTCTGCTACCATCTATTTTAAAAAGCGAGAAATGGATTCAACTTGTTTATTGCTTTTCTTTTCATATTATTGAAAGAAATTGTTCTAGAATCGAAAACGCGATGGCCGACTAAACTGGGTTATTGTTAGTATTTTCGTCCAGATTCCATTGTGTTTGAAGTCACTTGTATCTCACCTACTTTACACACTC